AATACGCGTTCGTCATTCCTTACGATTAAATTGCGCGCGCACACGTATGTACCCATTTGCTAGCCACGTAGTTCGAAAATTTATTGTAAGGGGAGGGGCGTTCAATTTTGGGCTCTTGTATCATTTTCCATAACTTGTTTTCTATGAGAAACTCGTAGAACCTGCAGAAGGCACTATTTGACACTAGTTCTAATTTAATATTATGTCTACTATGAATAGATTCAATATTTAACTTTAAGATTACATTTTCTACGAATACAAAATTTAATATAATAATATATCTACACACAAGTTCTATAATAATCAAAATCGTATTAAATTTAACAATCGAATAGTTATCACAACAGATTTATTTAATGTGCATATACACGTAGAAATATTGGAGTTAATTTTATTAATGTTAAGATGTTGGTTTTTAAATTTATTATAATTATGATTGTGATTAGCTACATTGTTATTTTCAATACTATTATTGTATCTACCTCTAAACAGGGTTCGAGTGTACAAATCAAGCATTTACAATAAGTTCAATGTTTCAACAAAAAATTGTAGTTGAATGAATTACAATTTAGCTCTAAGCGAAAAACGACTTGCAAATTTGTATTGCATTAACACGTTGGTGTGTTAAAACGGCTACACTTTTCTATGTGTGTACTATGTGTTTGATACTTGATATAACAAAATTTGTAAATACATTCGGGGGGGGGGGAAGGTCCGGCCCTGGACCGAAGTAAATTTGAGGGGGCCCGGCCCATCCAGGTATCATTATCCGTATTCTATAGACTGCTAACGGTTGGCGACTAAAGGCGTGCGTGCGGTGACACCAAAGGTTCGAGCGGATCAAAAACATCGTATCGAGTCATGCGCGCCAGCAGGGGGGAGGGCAAAGGGGCTATTGCCTCTACTGGGAATTTTTGTTTTAAAACTATTATTAATTTAATATCACGCATATTAATTATAACATAATCTTACTGAGATCCATTTATAAAGTTTAGTAAAATTTATTATATTTTTAGATAATCTAAAATGTATAATCGTGAACGAATTTATTAGTTTACAATGTTTACACATGACTGCATAACGCTTAAAACTATAAACTCTCCCGAGTACCGATTTCTATAGCATTTGATTTTGTTCTCATCTATTTTTAGATTCACGTTGTTTTGGCCCTTAGAATTTTAATCTCGCCCCGGGCGATTGCCGTTGTTCTTTACCGATTGAAAGGAGACCCGACGCCGTCATGCGTGCGTGCACTCAGTACACATTTGCCAGTACGCACGCGTGCGTCTAATTAGCGTCGTGAACGTAACACCGTGCCGTTATGTTATATCTCGTCGCGGCTGTTATTACAACGTCGCGCGACTCCGCCAGCACGCGTGCCGCCGCGTGAGCTCTGCGCTGATCATCGCCGGGCGTTCGGCCGCTTTCGCTCTTCCGGTTCACGTACCTGCCCACGAACCGTTTTATCGACCCGCCCTCCAGGGCCGCGCGTTCGATTACGCATCAGGTCCGTGAGCGCGGCACTGCAAACTCCAGCCGTCCTTTAACCCGGAAAATATTTTCCCCATCAGTTATTATTTTTATTATTATTTTTTTCTCATCCACCACAAGATCGGATGAATTGTTTTTCACGAACAGACCGTTGCATCAGATCCAATCCGGGAAAGGTTCGGTTTTTGGCAATACTGTGTTTTAGTAATGCTCGTATCAAACCAATGGAACATTTACCACACCTTTGAACGCCTTTGCTTCGCCGTTGGTTGTGTATTTGTGTTCCCGTGAAACTTTCAACTCGCGTACCTCCTCGAAATCGATAGATAGGTTACATTTTTTACGGTAAAACCGTAACAATTTCAACCGTTTAAATGACCCGTGGGCGTGTCGATGGCAATAACATTACACGTCGTCTATAATTAATTTACATCGATTGCATGGCTTCCGTGAGTAGGAGAATGAAAATCGAAATTTTCTACTCATTACGATAGGGTATGCTGTTTTATATGGTATTATTATTGTTGTTGATATAGCATGTACTTTGGTTAATAGTTCTGTTTAAAATCGATTAACAAAGTAATTACGCCGATATACCGTGTGCTCGCATTCGAGCCAGGATTATATATAAGCAACGGCAACACAATTTTAAAATAGATTTTTTTTTATCTTTTTTAGTTCATCATCACCGGTTGTTCGGAAGTTAATTTAAATTTCAACCAGACAAAAAGAATTTTTATCGAAAAATCGCAAGCAAAATAATAGAGCAAAAGAAAAGTGTCCGGAAAAACGAAAAATATGTCATTAATGTAAGAATTGATTCTCATGAAATAAACGAGAAAAAAATTACATCATAATTGGATCCTATGTATTATGACATGTATATATAATGAATTCCAAATTGCTCCTCGGATTATCTACAAGCGTAAAAGCACCTTCGAATAAGTTCTCACTGGGACATTATTTTATATTACATCCGTCTTCGCTATACAAGAGGGGAAAAATGTCAATTGAACTTTAAAATTTTTTATTATAAGTTCTCTTGAACGTACATTCTATAGAATAATACAGATTTGTAATTTTGTATTATAAGAAAGATTAATTCGGAACTTTTTTTAAAAATTGTTTAAAGAAATGTTGATATATTTTTTCTTTGATTTCTGTACAATTTAATTGTATTTTTTTATTATAATTTATTGTTTTACAATAATATTTTTATAGATGAAGGTTATTAAATTAAAAAAGTAAACCTGGAAAAATTATAATGGAATATTTAATTTGAAGGTTTCAAAATAAATTCAAATTAAATCTTAAAGTTTATTAAGAGTTAGGATGTATCTATTGAAAGGGAATGAATAGAAAAATATAAATATAAAATAGTACTATGATATTGTGGGAACTGTATCACGGCAAATATACGCAATTTTACTTACATATATGTCAATAGTATTGCTTTCACCATCATCGTTTTCGAAGTCAGCGTTAGGTTAGGCATTCATGTGTTAAAGTGATTTAAAATGAAATAATTCTTGGTGATTATTTAATATTTTGATCCATTTAAAAACGTTTTCAAACATATTATGTAAAAACTATCTATTTAGTATTATATGGGAATAACGAATTATGTGTTTGTGTGTGTGTGTTCAGTAATAGTTTTCATTTAAACCGGATTGTTTTCATTTTCAAATTCTTTAATAATTTTCATTATGTATTATTTATGATTTAAATTATTTAAATTAACTTTATATAATATTTGAATATAATTTAACATTTTACACTATCTTATAATGTATAGAAATTTATTATGTAAATGTTATCTTCCTATTGAAAAGGATACACATAATACGTAAATTAACTATATTAATGGAAATGGTACAAAGATAAAAAAAAAAAATAAAATTTTAGTTATTATCCAAACATTATCAATTCATATTATGAAAAATAATGCACATTTAAACGAACTTATATTTTATAAGAGGTTAGATACACCAATTATATTTTCCAATTTAACCAATAACACAAGTTTTTTTTATGAAAATCGATATAAATATATTATGCTAAGCTGCTTAAAAGATTTACTTCAATTATATTATATGGCTTTACAAATCACAACAAGGGTCAAATTAATTTATATTTATGTTTTATACTCTGATGTATACATTCAAAATATGTACATAAAATTTAATTGATACTGTATTAAAACTTTAGACTGATTAAAAATATATTTATTTTATATTGAGCTTGTGGTTTAACCATTGAACATAAAATTATTTTATCGATAGTTTTCATTAAACTCAATATGCACGCTGCTTATTTTTATATTTTTAATGCATTCGCGTTAATGTTTATTAGTTACTACTGTAGCTACATCGTATTTATCATTTGACGATCTGAAATACTCAGGAAATATTTTAATATTATAGATTAAAGCAATTTAATTACTATTTTAACGTAGAAAACATTTTGGTTGAATAAAAGCACAATCTTCATATATTATAATGCTTTTTATTAATGTTAATTTATATATACCTCAATTAGTAGGATTATTTACAATTGAAATCGACATATTAAACAAATTAAAATATTTCCTAGTTAATCAAAATGTGAAAAAAATGTATACATTTAACATAACAAGGTTTTGATTGATTTGATCTTTAATATGTGATTTTCGAAAAATCCCTCATTGTCTGGAACTCATCTACAGTATTAGGATAAGCCACTATGTCAAGTTTCAATTTCATAATATTTTCTTTATTATTTGGGATTTAGCGATCAATGAGTGATTGAGTAGTATTTTAATTTTATATTTAATGATTTTTAAAAACATGTGTTGTTATTAATTAACAACACGTGTTTTTTACTAAATTTTTAAAAGTTATTATTAAAATGTTTACTATTAAATTTTAACTTCTTTTTCTTCTAGAACTTATAGTGGTTTGTTTTGGACCATCGTCGCTTCCAACACACTCTTCCACCTCTCTCTGCCTAGCGCTGCTTTCAATCCAGTAACCGGTTGATTTTCTTCAAATCTCTTAATTCAATTTATCAGTAATATTTAATAAAAACTTAATATGTATTAATACATTATTTATCGTAATGGTTGTGGTATAGTATGAAATATTAACCAAACATCAAAAAAAATATACTCTTTCAGTTGAGAATCGTTTGTTAACATTTGATTGAGATTTATTTCTTAATTCTACTTATTGTGAATGATAATACCAATTTGTTTATTAACGTCCCTGATGATATATACGTCTTTTATGATTTCAAAATTTCGACATAAGGAAACAAGGTTTTCTACTTTTAACAACTTCCTGTCATTATCTGCAAGTCGCTTTGTAAGTGAAAGTCCTTTTCGGGATGAATTTGAATATTAATTAAGCGTACATAATTATTCAGCGTTTAGAACAATAAAAAACAATATCTTAAGGTATAAATATGTGTATGTATATATATATTAGTTTTAGTATAACTATTATAAATATTTCCGTGTTTAATAAACGTACTTATGTTTTGATTGGATGAAGAGGATTCGCTTGTAGAGATCGCCGAACTCATGAGTGATTGCCGTAGAATTAACTTCTGGCTACGCGTCGAAAAAAATAAATAGTTTTCACTATTCAGTACGATGTATATGTTATTTCGATTTTTAAAATCTAAGTATCATAATTTTGTATTAATAAAATATCACGCGAAAACGTTTTGAATATTAAATAATATGTGTTCTTAATTAGTTTAACATTTTTAATATTGTTTTTATCCGTTCAGAACTGAATACATGCATACGTGCACTGTGTAAAATAATATGATACACATTGAATTAAGGTTATAAGTTCTAAATGAGATATATTTACAGACTGCGTATTCCTATCAAATGAACGATAGCTGATAATTTATAGTTTGTATTTTGTTACTTACGTCACCGTACAATGCTGTATAATCAGTAGCATTATGATGTATACATTCTAAAAGAAAATGCAATATGCTTATTATAATGCTCGATGACGTACCAATTAATAAAAAAATATCATCGATTCAATGAGCATAATGTTCTCAGTGTGTCCGGAGAAAAAAAGAAACTTTTGTTTTTGTAACCCTCTGTGTAGGTATTGTCCGTGCAATCGAACACTAGTGAAACATTGTTGCCTATCTTGCACTCCTTAAATGCTCATCAGTTGTTCGTGAAAACTTATAAAATTCCCATACGGTTATGTAAAAATCGATTCTAAATATTTCACAAATATGTTATACAATACGGAATTACAAACGAAAAACAAAACGCAGTAATTACGTATGCCTTTATATTTTCGATGACTAAACAAACCAACAACAATGTAATAATTACGTATACTATAAATTACAAGCTGTATAGATTTTCGCGTCACAATTTGATGGGCAGAATTTCAAGGTACAAGTGATCGGAGAATTCGATATTTCTAGTTACTATATTGCAAATTTATACAATGGGACGGAATTTTACTAACTATTTTTGAATTTATAACGCGATTTTTTTGAGTCTAGTAAAATCGATCAATTGTTGTTCGATGTGCGAGACAACGGAATTCATTGTATTGCATAATATATTATAATACGTCGTACGTAATTTTTGGTACAAGTTGATCATATTATTATTATTGGACTGTTAGAGAGGAAACTGAATGGCGCATTAGTCAGAGATATTATTGTACAGTGAGCGTACTGTTATAATTATTATAATTAAATATTTTATTATTTAATTGCTTTGCTATAATGTTCTAACAAGGCAAAAAAAAAAAAAATAAATATCTTAAACACATACAAAATATGTTTATTTGATCATTAAAAAAAAATTAAATATATATATATATTTGTTTATTAAGATTTGTGTTTTCATATTTTGGAGACCAGTTTTAGTATTATATTTTAAAATTAGGTTGGACTAGCCCTATTCAGATATATCACCACTATTTCTCCTGCTGTGTTTGTGGGTTTTAATTTTTAACGAGTCTGAATAATCTAAATTTGCTAAATATGTTTAACCTAAAGATAATATGAATACTTTCGAAATGCATAACATATTAAAATTAGATATTATATATTCATATTTCATTGTATCAGGTCGAATGAAGAAATAATTAAACTTAAATGCTACAATTATTTCCCGTTTTTATGTGTAACGAATGATGATATCTTATTCGTCAGAATTCTATTAATATATCTATTATTAAAATTTAATTTTTATTAAATATATTAGTTGTTTATTTTTTAATATTTATAAGCTTTTAATTGTAATTTATTCGATGGTAATCAAATGTTGGTATTCAAATGTATTTGTTTTGCACACAAATTAATTTTAAAATATTATGATACATTTTTTTTACAAATATATTTTATTACCAACATTTGATCACCGAATAAATTACAATTAAGAGCATATAAGTGAAAAAAAATTAACCATTACTAAATTTAATAATAATTAAATTATAATAACAGATATATTAATATAATTCTGATGAAAAAGATATCATCCATTCGTTACAAATAAAAACGAGAAATTATTGTATCATTGAAATTGAATTTTTTCCCCGTCCGACTTGATGTATTAATCATATACGTTTTTTTCAAAAAATAAACAATAAAAAAAACATAAACATTTTAATAAGAACATAATTATTTTAAGTAGTTATTCCAAATATGTGGTTAAGCTTGAATAATAAATTTAATAAAAAAAAATTTCTAATTTCAAACAACATAAATTGTTTACACTATTTATAATTTTATCATTAAAATAACAAGATTGGTTACAATTATTGCAACCAATTTATATTAAAATTATTATGAAATTTGATTAGAACTATAGAACACATTTTGATTGAATTAATTTAATTATAGTAGTTATTTCAATTATTTTACCACATAGTTTAGTTAATTTAGCTTATTGTGATAAATAGTTATAAAATATAGCAAACATTGGATCTACCTACTCTGTGTGTATAAAATATGTATTTATATAATCAGAATAATTAATTGACTTATTTTCAACTATAAAATATTATTATTTTAACCCGTTGACTATAAAACTGCAGAAACGATATATAATGTATAATTTAAAATAATTATGCGTGAATCATAGAATAAATTACAACATTTTTCAGTAGTTATATAAAAACAATAGTTCGTTAAAAATATGTAGTGTTAAGTGTATAGTTTTTTTTTTTTTATTTGAAAAATAAAAGTATTTAAATCACATTTTTCATCACATAACGTTTATAGCTACTATTAACTATGATTAACCTATAATAATTTTCTGTATACCTACTCGTATATACCAATGCGTGTTACGGAAAAGTATTAAAATTATATTCCTACGAATACATAATATTGACATAAAATTTTTTATGCTAATCAGGATTTCCGAGGTGATTTGAAATAGATACAACCATATTGGATAACTTATTACGAATGTGGTACTTGCATCGAAATTGTCGATCATTAAAGTATAATATATTTAATAATTTTCTCAAAGAATAATTTCGAACTGAAATCAAAATGTTTCGAGGTCGGGTTCTTTTGATTTTCGACGACAGCGTATTCGACACGTTTATGATATTATTGCATTATATTATTCCGTTTTGATTCGTGAAAAATAAAACAACGAATCGCGCAGTACGATTGTAAGAATAAAACATATTTATAATATTTATAGCAGATTTTTGCGAATTGAAGCGTTCCGAGTTGGAATCGATTTGAGTGCGTTTGGTAATTCGTTTTACAATTAAAAGAAAAAAAAAAACACCGAAGAAAAACCGCTTGCAAACAAACCGAACAACGCGCGTATAATCCTGGGATCGTGAAGCATTAATGGCTTTGCGAACCATTGAACTCCGGTCGCGGTATAATTACTTCTTATTATTATTACTTTCCGCCGCCGCAACCGATGTTACTGCAAGTTAGGTATATACCGCGTATCTGCTGAATATTACGTGTCTAGTTCATTGGCGTAGAAAACCGGACAGGTGAACACACACACACACACACGCACACCAGCGAGCGAACGACGACGACGAAGAGTGGTAAGGTGAGTGGCGCGCGAGCTCTCTCCGTTACCGACAGTCAGTATCACCGACATATTCGTGTCTGTCCGTCCGTCCGTTCGTCGTATCGCGACACGAAATCGTCAAATAATTTTTTTTCGTTCTACACGGGTCTCCCGAAAACGGAAGATTCGTGCAAGTGGATTGCGAACAAGTATATTTTCTGAGTTTTATTTCCCCGTACCGTTGCGTCTGCATACGAGGAAATTAAAAATAAAAAAAAAAAAAAATCGCTCCGCGTTTATTTTTCTCTCGCTCGCGAGTGCACCGGCGGAACACGACACACACGGCCCGCGCGTCTGTATTATAGTTTTGTTACGATATATTTAAAGCTCGTTCGAAAAAATATTAAAACGCGCCATAAGTAAACTCGGTGTGCGTTGGCCAGCGCGCGCGTGTGCATGTGACATGGATACATAGTTTGACTTTACCCAGGACGAAAATATCACATATCGACGGACAACGGTCGCGGATCGATAAAGGTAAGGAACGCATCCGTTGCATTCGACCCGTTCGAGGTACGTTAAGTGAACGCGATCCTTAGTCGGTCTTTATTTTCCAAATATTTTCAAAAAACATTGTCCCTCCAGCCTAAATGTTCAATTCTAACGTGCCGGGTACACCGTTGCGGCGGATAGTGTATGTATTCCGATGCGCGTATTCGTTGTTCTTGGAATATGTACTACTACTGTAACCACCCATTTGTAATGGTTGTTTAATGTATTATTATAGTACATACGGTCTTCAGGACGCATTGTGTACGGACGCATTTCACGTTGCCGTATAATACGTATGGGTTTATCAATAGCTCTCGAACCGTAAGCTACTGTTTACACTTGACATATGTGTTGGGCTGTGATATTTATGACTGCAGTGTGCCCGAACACAAAAAAGGGGTTCCGCCAGAGGCGTGTTGCTTCTAAGCTAAGGGGTAATTATGTGAAAAAGAAAAAAGAAACTGTGAAATTATAATAACATGCGTACCCGTATCATATATGAGATCGTATTATGTACGTACGAATTATTGTTTACGGTTGTATTTTGATTTATATAGATAGTGACTACCACGATCCCTAAAATATTTACCCCTAAACTACCCTAAGTAATTTACCATCTATAACCCATTGGAGGTACAAGTCGCGTCGAGTTCAAGGTCGTGCTACGCGCACCTGTTGGTTATAAAGTATGGATAAAAATATCATGAAATTATCTAAATAAATATATTAATACGTATAGAACTTTGTGGGCTCATTTTACTGTTTATTGATTGTGTTCTGTTAAGATTTCTCATAGAGCTACGTATACTGTTCTGGCTCGTTTAAAATAATATCATGTGTAACTTTTTATAATAAATTGAATTATTCTAAATAAATATACTAGGTATACAAGAAAAATGTATTTTATTGCAAAAATAATAAATTTTAACGCGTTGGTTAATATTAACATTTGACATCAATGACCGTTTTTGTATTTTGCGATGAGTCAAAGCACTTGAGTTATTATTAATACACGTTTCGCCAATACATTTGAATATTTAATGGGTATAGGAACCTTAACCGTTTTAATAAAATCCTGTCGTCAACCCACACCACGAGAATAAATTGTTTATTCGGCTGGTTGGTTAGGTGTAGGCGTTTATTATTTTTCAAAGCCATATCCTCAAAAAGGAAAGGAGAGGGAAAAGGAGAATAAATCGACGGAGGAGCGATTCAATTTTGTATTGTTTTTAAATGTACATCGATTACTTTAAAGTATCCGGTATCTATACATTAGAAAAAGAAAAAAAAATTAAGATAGTATATATTAATTACATATATAAATATCAATAAAAATAATTGAAATTAAAAAAAAAAAATTGTAGTTTAAGAGTTCGGTAAAGTAAAATTGAATTTTTAATATGTAACTATACACATTATTTATGAAATTGTTTGCCTAATAAAAGTTTATTTACAAAAATAAAAACAATTTATAGTATTTTACACTCTATATCTTGTATCATAGTATATTTACTGTGAATTTTAAGTGAGGTGATTGTTTCATTTTCCTTTGGCTTTAATGTATTTATATAATGTTTCAATAGTGTACATTTGTACGAGTATATTGCATTTTTTTTTTTTGTATAATATGAGCTAATTTAGAATAATATAATCATTTAATTTTTATCATTTTTTGTCCCCAGATATATTTTTTATGCATATCTCATATACGCATTATAAATAAGTTTATTATACATATAATAATTTATACCTAAGTACAACTTTTTAATTTTTAATATTTTGTTCATTGGTCGTATAAATATTGATAATGGATATTTATTGTTTTTGATCGACAATCTAATATTTTACCGATTAATTTTTAATAGCCATTTCAAAATTATCTAAGAAAAACAAAAATAAAATTACCGTACAAAATGGGTAGAACAAATTTGGCTGAAATAGAAAATTAGGTTTAGTATCTTTTACTTGATGTGAATGTTAAAATTTAATTGATATTTTATGATCGTCATGTATATAGATAAATTATTATCTACACCATGGGTTGGCAACTGGTGGACTGCGGATACTCTAGATACTCTAGACCCGGTCAACTTTTATTTTCATACTCCTAATATTTTAATCTTAATATAAATTAATTATACTAACCAAATAATTATTTTTATTTTTATACTACTATTTTTAAAATATAAAGACTTGAAAAAGATTATTTTCACTGGACCTCATTGATTTATTATTATAATCTTTAGGACTCCAATATTAATTACTTGCCGACCCCTGATCTATACATATAAAAATGAACGTTTGTTTGTATGCCCATTATGAATTCTTGAACTATTTACTTGATTTCGATGAAATTTGGTACGAACATAGATTAGACCTTGGAGAAGAACATAGATTACCTTTTATCGTGAAAAAAAGGAAAGAGAAGCATCAGTGCTCTCGATAACGCCAGAACGAGTAATTGTTATTCTGTTGTTGTTGTTAACTGAAATAACGGAAAGAAACCTCACTGTCACACACCTCAGTGTGCTCCTCGAAAATGGTGAACGTGTGTATCTATTTTAATAAAAATAATGTCATAGGTGACACAGGCAAAAATATTCTCATTTCACTTTGCAACCATATGATCACGAAATGATATTTCACTGACAATCATATCATCAGGAATTACAGCAACTCTTCTGGTTGATGGTTGAATTCAGCACTGAGATTTGTCGTTGAACATAGAAATCACTGAAAGACATGAAATATCACTAAAAATTCCAGAATGGGTGAAGTACTCCGAACATGTATTCTCATTGTATGGGACGAATGTACTACGGCGCACAAAAGAGCATTTGATCGTACACTAGTATAATTAATAGGAAATCAAGAGTTTTTCGGTGGCGCACTAATTTAGTTTGGTGATTTTCGACAAATTCTACCAGATATACCACTTCAACACCCACTAATAAGGTCAATGCATGTCTCAAATCATCAGTTTTATGGCAACATGTACAAAAATTGAACTTGAAGACCAATATGCGTGTACAGCTACAAAACGATGCATCCAATGATTTCAAAACAATGGTTGAACATTGGAAATGAGAAAATGGCAATTGATGAATTAATACAATGCATCACATTGCCAACAATTTTTTGTAAACTTACAGCAACCACGGAGTTATTATCTTTGATAAAGTTTTCCTAAGTATAGCACAAATTTACAGAAATCATTAGTGGCTCAGCGTGCAGGTTGTATTAATCAATTTCAGCATTCATAATGAAATTCCAGAGAATACGATAACGTCCATCAATACTGTAATAAGTTAAGACAAAGTTGTCGACTATCCAAATGTTAAATTTCACATGTTATTAAAAGTTTAAAGAATTATACTAATTTTACAACAATATATAATGTTGTATTAGTTATGTTGAATCGTGATTGGTTAGGTATATTTAGATAATATTATGAGAAAATAATATAAAATAGGATATAATAATAAATAATAATCGTTATAAAATACGCTATTAAATTATAATATTATAGTGCCTACATATTTTGAGGAAAAAAACATTTAATCAATGAAAAACTAATTTTTATGTGGTCATTGTTTTTATTTTTTTCGAAAATTTTTTAATTAATCATTTAATATTAGGTATTCATAATAAAGCGTTTAATACATATATAAACGTGACATTTTATTTATAGATATATACTATTTATATTACATTTTTTTAACGAATATAGATATTAAATCTAATGAGGTTAGGTATATGTAATTTCGAAGTTACGAGTAATATTTATAATAGGCGAGTAATAACTAGATAAAATCATTTTATGTATACAGTTATTTAATTTCGAGTTTTATATGATTAATTATATTTTTTAGTTTAAATCGATTGAGTATGGATTAACTAATTAGTATAATTATAGTATAAACAAGGTTTATTTACTACTATATAATATGTAATTAAGTATATAAATATTTTAATTTAATTCAATTCTATGTAATAGTCTTCAAAGAAAGGAAGTATAAGTAATAAAACTATTTGGGAATTTGAACGGTTCTGTTGTTATTTCTTTTGTTTAAAACGTAATGTAGTGTCTTAAAAATTTAAGATTTTTATGGAATTCCGTAGGGAGACAAAGTAAATTGTTGTTTATACAAGGCGATCTGGAACCAGTTTTTTTCTTTTTAGCGCGTTCGCCCACTATTGCAAGAAGCTCTAACCATTCTCTTCGTCCCCAAGTGTCCGTTGGTCTATCCGGGAGATATATTTAATATTCGTGTTTGTATTTACCACGATGCCGTAATATGTAGGCGTTACCTTCTTTGGTCGGATCACGACCATGAATAATGAAATAAAAAAGATAATATGTTATTTATAATAATAAAATATTATAATATTATACTATACGGACTCAAACGGGTATCGATATATTTTCATAACTCTGAGGTAATCTTATGTAAAAATAACTGTTTTTGAATAATAAAAAAATCTCAAACCGGAAAAATTGTAAACAGTAAATGTGACGAAAACGTTTTTGCAGAATTTATTTTGGTATTGTAATTTTTCGAATTTTGAGGTAATTAGTTTTAATTATTTTATTAATTAATTGTAATTTTCCATGAATAGCCCGATACTTGAAAAATCTCACACATTAATGATGAAAATATACAAAGTTACACGCCATTTGGTGATTTTGAGATTACTGCGGTTACATGGCAGGAAGAGAAATATTTTAGGCATGAAAAGAAGAAAGGACTCAAGAGTACCTAATAATGTTTGGTTGCTCGATGAATAAAAGTAAAAGGAAAATATCTATTCGATTGTAAACAACTTTTTTTTTACTTCAAGTCGATATAAACACGTACCTATAATGTCATACGCTTCCTTAGTGTTTCCATAATGACCTGTGCGTATAGATCGTACAACATATAATTAGCCAACTGCATTAGTCCAAACTTTTGTGTTTTGCTCAGAGTGGGTCAGAAGGTTGT